GGGCCATCTAAAAATATAGCTTAATGGGGCTATCACAAAAAGTCAGGATGCCTGTTGTCTCTCAATAACCAACATTGAAGGCAATATGCCTTTTTCTTGTAAAAACTGGATTTACAAGTATTTAAATGGAAATGGTAGGGAACTGTTTCAGAGGTGGCAAGTAAAGTAGCACTCAGGATAAAAGTTTAAGCATTACCACTGTGTCAGCATTGTTTGATTCTTGGGGGTGGGGGAGGCTGGAAGGTGGAGGGGAGGTTGAAATAGAAGGTACAAATGTGAGCACAAAGATATCATGCTTGTTTATGGCTCTTATCTTTTGTCCATTTGTCTTCTGAGTCATGCCTGTTTTGCTGAAGTTAATCTGAAAGAGTCAATTTTGCTGTAGAAGAATGGGCTATATTTCACTCTACCTCATGCATCATTAACAGAATTGCCTGCTAAACTTCAGTTCCAGAATCTCTAATAGACAACAAGGATGGGAGTTGGGGGGAGACACCCTCCTGATAAACGAAAGAGAGGGAAATTGGCAAGATAGTGACAATACTGCAGTGCTGGCAGATTGGAGAACCAGGTCTGATATGTAATCTGAATGTCACTTTGAAGAGAAAAGAGCTATATAATTGTCCTGCAGTTTCCCAACAGTCACTTTCAGGTCCAAAGGCATTGTTTGAATTGTGGAATATGTAGCCAGTTGAGGGGCATCATCCCTGGCAATGTGCAATGTGTATTTCCAATTTTCGATTTGGGCCAAAAAAAAAAAAACATTCAGAAAAGTGGAGCTGCAAACATTTTTTTTTTGGAATTGTTACTTGAATCCAAAAAACATTGGCAAGTTAACTGAAAAAAATCACAAATGCTTTGGAGTTATTGGCTAAGTTGAATAAGCTGAGGGGCCAACATGGCCAGTCTAGCTCTTCCAAGCTCTGATCCAGTTCTGCTTTTCCATCAACTGGGCAATGGCAACTGGTAGCAGTGGGATGATGAATGTACCCTTAAGTTATTTAAGGTACTGAATCTTATTGCCAAACAGCTTCAGAACTCTGGAAAGATCATTTAAATTTTGCACAGTAACTTGGCATGGACTCACTGGAATCATTACTTTCTCTGGGCTCAGCTTTAGACTCAGATATCTTCCATGTGTGGCTGATGACATGAAGCCTCAAAGGCCATCTTGCAAAACACCACAAAGAAGAGAATCATATGTGAAATATCTTTTCTGCTTCTACTGTGCTGTTTTGGAGAGTTTAACATGAGCCCAAAACATAATCTACAACCTTTTTCTGCCTGAGACAAAAGTGTCTCTATCCCTCTACCTGCAAAAATGAGCTGAACTGACATGGGCAGCCATGTTAGTCTGTTGCAACACAACCAACAAAGGATCTTTGAGTATCTTGAAAACCAGACTGATATACTGGCATAAGCTTTCTTACTTCTGAGATGGCAGTGAGTGCATCAAGGAGGTGACACACAACTCGGCCCTTCAAGGGAGAAGAATAGCTATCTACAATCCAGGAGGAATGGCTTGAAGGATCTTTCTAACATTTGCTACCTGAAGCAACTGCCTCAGCGTAATCCAGTGGTTCCCAACCTATCTTTTGACCATGCCCCATCTAAGCATCTCTAAAATCCTGATGCCCCCCCTCGACATATATTTAATAGTTCAAAAACCAAACTCTTATTCAAGTGAACTCTTATTCAACTCATATAATTTTGTCTAAATAAGCTTCCAATGAACATGGCACCCATGAAGGAGAAAAATAAAATAACGAATTGATTTGAGTAATCTGCAACAAATTCAGGAAATGTGCAACTTTATTGCTTGTATTTGTGAGAATATGTGAGAATATCCTGTCACCTCATGTTCATTTTCTTGTGGCTGATAACCTTTATTTATTTATTTTTTCATACAAAAGTATTGACTAATCAATGAAAGTAATAATTGTGTTTTGGATTTTTCCCCCCACCGATTTCTGACTACATTCATATGCAGAACAAAAATACGTGCTATATATTTTGTAATGTTAGTTTCATTGTAATGTTAAAAGGACACTGAGAGGAGTGGGACTGAAACAGTCACACTACAAACTCCACTATGGTGAAGGCCAAAGGGCTTTCGAGGAACACCAGAAACAAAATTGTTGCCCTGCACCAGACCAGGAAGAATGAATCTGGAATAGGCAAGCAGCTTGGTGTGAAGAAATCAACTGTGGGAGCAATAATTAGAAAATGGAAGAGATACAAGACCACTGATAATCTCCCTTGATCTGGGGCTTCATGCAAGATCTCACCCCATGGGGTCAAAATGATCACAAGAACGGTGAGCAAAAATCCCAGAACCACACGGGGGAAACCTAGTGAATGACCTGCAGAGAGCTGGGACCAACGTAACAAAGGCTACCATCAGTAACACACTGATTCCGCCAGGGACTCGGATCCTCCAGTGCCAGACGTGTCCCCCTGCTTAACCAGAGTAGAACTGTTTCACAGAAACACAACTCTTTGTCATGTTTGGAGGATAAAAGAATGCTGAGTTACATCCAAAGAACACCATACCTACTGTGAAGCATGGGGGTGGCAACATCATGCTTTGGGGCTATTTCTCTGCAAAGGCACCAGGGCGACTGATCCGTATACATGAAAGAATGAATGGGGCCATGTATCATGAGAGTTTAAGTGAAAGCCTCCTTCCATCAGCAAGGGCACTGAAGATGAAATGTGGCTGGGTCTTTCAGCATGACAATGATCCCAAGCACATCGCCAGGGCAACAAAGGAGTGGCTTCGTAAGAAGCATTTCAAGCCAGTCTCCAGATCTCGACCCTATAGAAAACCTTTGGAGGGAGTTGCCCAGTGACAGCCCCAAAACATCACTGCTCTTGAGGAGACCTGAATGGAGGAATGGGCCAACATACCAGCAACAGTGTGTGCCAAGCTTGTGAGGACTTACAGAAAACATTTGACCTCTGCTCTACCAATAAAGGATATATAACAAAGTATTGAGATGAACTTTTGTTATGGACCAAATACTTATTTTCCAACATAACTTGCAAATACATTAGTTAAAATAAGACAATGTGATTTTCTGGATGTATTTTCCCATATTGTCTCTCATAGTTGATGTCAATTACAGGCCTCTCTCATCTTTTTAAGTGGGATAACTTGTACAATTGGCATCTGACTAAATACTCCCCCCCCCTCACTGTACATTCTGATTCTAATGTTAAAAATGTTTATATGTCACCATATATATTTATATACTTTATATGAAGCCCCTAAAATCTTAAGAAATGCAAAACAAAAAATCACTGTTAATAACCCATCCTCAAATTGTCCCCTTTAAAAATCAAATTGTCCTCCTGTGGGGTATGTGCTCCATATTGGGAACCATTGCTCTAATGGAAGATCTGGTTCCATGAGACAGTTAGTCCTGTTATACGTAATCAATCTTAAATGACTTTCTGGCTATATATGTTGAAGGTTAGTCAGTGTTAATTGGAGCAGGAAGGAGCAGGAGGCACATCTAATATAACATGGTTATTCTTCCCATACATTTTCTATTTGCATTAAAATGATGTATGAATTAGAAATGTTGCCATTACTACAAATATTTCTTACTTTTTCAGGAAATATAACAAATCAGGATTTTATCAAATATGGCAAAACTAGGACATATCTTTGTGTTTTCAGAATTGTTGCATTTTTATCAGACCTTGATAGAACTTACAGTTATCTTTCTCAGACTACCTTACATCTTGCCTGATGAAGAAATCTGAAGATGTCAACACCTTACAACACTTTGCAACAATTCACATTCTGCTGAATAATCTAATAACATTATCTCACTGATCAGGATTTTGGCTATCAAACATTGATGCCTTTACCACACCCTGCCAAAAATTATATAGCTTTTTCACATATCAAGGATCACAAAATGAGCTTCTTCCAACATGTAGTGGCAGGGTAGTAATTAAAAGCTGGTGGTGTTGTGATTTGACATTTGGAGTGAGCAAGATATTGCCTCCTTTCCAGCAAGAACATGACATAGGAATGAAAGCTTGTTTCTCTTGTTTCGGGACATAGAATGTAAAATTTAATTTGGCATAAAATTATCTTATTTGGTAGGTTAAAAGTTCTGTTTATTCAGACAATTATTAGTATTAGTTGCCTATCCGAGCAACTTTACATGCAAAATGATGCGCGAACACACTGCACCGAGTGGCTGGATTGTCGAGGGGCTCCTCCATCCCAGGAAGGTGCTCAGTAACTCTCTCGCATTGTCTCTTTGACTAAATGACTAAATGTTTTAAGTAAATGACTAAATGTGTGGCTAGACAGGCAGGGTTGGAAATGGGTACAGTGGTTGGCAGTGGCACCAGGCATATAATATGATGGTGGATGGATAAAGAAGCAAGAGAAGAGACAGGTAGCAGCAATAGCAGAAGAAAAATAAAAATGTGGTACGGTAGCAGCAAAGGAGGAAGCAGCAGCTATTGCAATAGCTCCTCCTCACTAAGGCTTTAGGAGCCATCGGAGCTCCTACTTTGAACTGGATGTACTCTCTTTATGAGTGCCTTACACCTGTTAGCTCATAGGATAAGGAAATTTACAAGCTGTTTCTCCACAAGATGTTTGCAGCTCTGATACTTTCCAGATAGAATGCTCTGAGCAGTTCTTGCAACCCAGATAATATACCCAACCCTTGGCCTCTTTTTCTGAAAACTCCTATCATGCCACTTTACAAGGTGCCATCTTGTTCCATCATGCTTGCTGGTAGCTGCCATTGGCTTTTCTGTTAAGGGGTGTTTTGTCCTGGAGCTTAGCATACATCTCCATTTAGCCTATATGTGATGCCTTCCTTTTGTTTCTGTTTAAATGTTATTGTGTGTCTTCTCTCTCTTTCTTCTTTCTTTCCTTCTTGTTTTTCTTTCTTTCTTTTTTTCCTTGTTTGTCCATGCTGTTGTGCTGACCCCTCTCCTGGCTGCTCTTTTCGCGCTGCCAATAGCATCCATAAAGTGCCCCCGGCTGACCTGAGGAGAGTCTCAGCTCCCCCTGATACCTTCACTGTGTAAGTACTTGCCTTTTCTTTCCCTACTTTTAAACACCCTCTGGTTTCCTCAACTCTACCTCTTCCTCCTCTGCATGGTGTATGCAGTACTAATCCCCCATTGTCATGAAGTGCATGGATCCAAGCTCAAATGTGACTGGCAATGAAGTAACACAGGCCTAAAATGGGTATCATAATTGGAAAAGTTCATATGTTGTTAGGGTTGCCCCTTCCCAAACCACTGAACTAGGGTAGAATCTGTTGATAAGCTGGTGGACTAAGGACCAAGACATAAACCCACCTGTCAGATTTAGGAGAAACCAAAAGTGAAACTGATGGATCAGAGATTGACAAAATTCAGAATATGTTGGCTTTCAGATCATGCATTGCTTGTGGCTTAGCTGTCGGGATCTCCTTCAACCATTTTGGATGTGCCACTCCTCCCCTGATTAGTCAACAAGGTATCAGGACACAGTTTTACTGTTTAGGCAGTATAGGTCATCTGGTCTGCTTTTCTTTCTTTCTTTTTCACTTTTGGATAACTTTTTAAAACAAGATCTCAGTAAAAAGAATTCATGAACAATGCAAACTGTGGGGAGATTCACCAGGCAGTGTGGTGAATCTGTTGTGCAGCGGGGGAATCTGTTTCCCTACATTGCCCACAGTGACACCTTCCTCATTACATGGGGGAAATCATCACTGCCCAGCTTCCCTCCACGCTCACTCTGTTGTAGGCAATGAGAACATGGGAAGCCCCCCCCCCTCGGTTCTTGTTGTTTCCTTTTACAACACTGTCACCACATTTTGGGGACACTGGAAGTAGCTCTGCATCATTTGATGGGATCCAGTTTGATGGGATCCCCAAACTCTGGTGAAAGTGTCATACAACTGGTAAATTTACCCATGTGGTAAAGTTCTTAGTTAGTATTCTTCACTGTGAAAATTGATGTGTACATCAAAATCAAGTTTCCAAAAATGGAAATGGAACTAAACTTCATTTCTTCTCAACCTTCTGAAAGATATGTTTAAATTCAGGAAGGAGTGTAGGCTTGGGAATGCTTTGTAGCCACGTGATAGAGCACAGGTTTTGCATACAAAATGTTCCAGGTTCTTGGTTTGGCATCTCTAAAGAGATTAGACAAAAATAATGCCTGAAATCTTCGATAATGTTGCCCTTCAGTTTTGACAGTGCTGAAGCAACAATCTGACTCAGTATAAGAATGCATCCCATGTTTCTCCAAAGAGTTCAGAGAAGAATACTGTGAAGTATTCAAAGATATAGCCATGTTGGTCTGGAATTTCAATATGCAAAAGGATTGTGTAGCACCTTGGAGAAAAAAAGTTGCCAACATAAGATTTCATGGACTAATGCTTGTCTACACTGACAGGAATTGAACTCAGCACTGGCTGTCTCCATTATTCCCAGCCATTCCCAGAGAGTATTCCAGTTTTTCTACCTCATACCGATTTTGCCCTAACTGAACTGTTTGGACACTGGCTGTAGATTCAGCAGGAATGTGCTGTATTCAGGGCTGCTCTGGGACAGAAATATAGCTAGAATAATCAACCCAGTTTAGATGCAGTTTAAATGATTCATCTGAGGTTGTAGACTTGACCTCTTCACACAGCAACCTTTCCTTTCCTTCATCAGATGGCAGAAAGGGCAGCAAACGCGTGTTGCCCTACTGCCCTTTTTACCATCACATGGCAAAAAGGGGAGGGAAGTGCAGGAAACTCCTTTCACCACATCTCCTCCACTTTGGGAGGAATGTGGTCGAAGCTGTTGTGGATTGTGTAATGGCACACAGCAGGCTCCGTCCTTGCCACAATTAAAAATGGCAAAGCAGGGCAAAAATGCTCTGTGTAAAGATGCCCATTGTCTGCAGAAACTTATTCTACCAATTTCATTCTCTCAGTTAGCCTCTAAGGTGTTACAAAAGCCCAGTGAATTGTATTAGTTTAGATTAGGTGTAATGAATCATTCACACTTCAGAAGGCTAGGGCTACAACACTTACAGTCCTTTACCATTACTCATGTTGCCTGGGGCTTCTGAAAATTGAAGTCCAAAATATATAGAGGCCCAAAATTTCAACACTTCTGGTTTAGAGCCTCCTTTATGTTTTCCAATTATGCTTGTGCTCATCACACTGAGGCCCTTGTTTCCTTTCTTAAAAGTACAGCAGAGCAGAACTCCAGGTTACACACTTCCAATACTCTTGAATATGACCTCCCCCTTGTAGGCAATGTACTTTTCTAAATTAAAATTGCAGGAACATTAAAGTAGAAAATTAAACCTAATTGAACAAGAATCTCAACATTGTTGTCTCATCTCAAGTGCTTGTAGACCAGTCATTGCATGTGTTGATGTAACAATTGCATGAACATTTCAAGCATATGTTGTCTCTGATTGATCACATTTTTCTTTATGAAAATAATTGCAATCAGGAGAAGATAAGTCATTTTGACTATGTGAATAAAATATGTGGATCTGCTACTGTAAAACTCAACAAATTTGATATCTGTAATACATCCAGAAGGGACAGATAAATGCCAAGTTAAAGCTGGAACACAGGCATTGCTATCTATCCTTCCACTGAAAACCTTGGCTTACTTTTCTTCTTGGACATGTCTTGCTTTTCTTCTCTTTACTTCTATTGCTTCAGCCTGGTCTCCTGATCCAGATGAGTTGTTTTTCCTATTATATATCTGCTATCTCTTTCATTATGCTCAGAGCAGGGCTGTGTACTTTTGTGAAGAACTGTGCTCACTTCAGATATATACTGGTGATGGCATAGCAGTGGCGGTACATGTGTGTCTGTTCAGATATTCTGAATTACACTGCTCAGTACCCTTGCCCACTCGCTGCCTCTAACAGTGTGTGTGTGTGTGTGTGTGTGTGTGTGTGAGTGGTTAAGGTTTTCCCTTGATGTTAAGCCTCATTGTGTCCGACTCTGAGGGGTGGTGCTGATCTCCATTTCTAAGCTGAAGAGCTGGCATTGTCTGTAGACACTTCTAAGGTCATGTGGCCAACGTGACTGCATGAAGTGCTGTTACATTCCCGCAAGATTGGTACCTATTGATCTACTCACATTTGCATGTTTTCAAACTGCTAGATTGGCAGAAGCTTGGGCTAACAATGGGAGCTCAACCCGCTCCCCAGATTCGAATTGCCAACCTTTGGTCAGCAAGTTCAGCAGCTCAGTGGTTTAACCCACTATGCCACTGGGGGCTCCTGTCTATCTATCTCTATCTATCTATCTATCTATCTATCTATCTATCTATCTATCTATCTATCTATCTATCATCTATCCATCCATCCATCCATCCATCTATCTGTTTTTGTTATTGGTGATATGAGGATTCTGCTACCTGTATGGAGAGGTAGCAGAAGATGTGAATCATATGCAAAAAGAATAGACATGCCGCTTTATAATTCTAGATTCCAAACTTACAATTTTATAGATTTATAGATTGAAATGTGTACAGGTTGAGTATCGCTTATCTAAAATATTTGGAGCCAGAAAAGTATCTCTTATCTGAAATGTTTGGAGCCAGGAGTGTTTTGGATTTTGGAAAATTTTTTTGAATACCTTTATCTGCATATACATACATAAAAAGATATCATTGAAATAGGACCCAATTCTAACCATGGAATTCATTTGCATTTCATAACACCTTAGAAACATACCCTGAAGGTAATCATGGTCAATGTTTAAATAACTTTGTACATGAAATAAAGTTTGTGTATTATGAATGATCAGAAAACAAAGGTGTCACTACCTCAGCCACTCAGCCACAATTTTGAATTTTGGAGTATTTCAGATTTCATAATTCCAGATCAAGAATGCTCAGTCCACACTACTTTACCTAAATAGTCTATATGGCATCGTATAAGGGACTTTGCTATTAGTTCTCTGATGTTCCCTTCTATATCCTGCACTGATAAATGTGACTGAAGAAATATAGTGTTTGCTTCCAGCTGACATTTACTTCCCCAAGTGACAGTCCCATTTTACTTCACAATACAGCTAGCTCTGGAACTGATTCCTGAACCACTTGCCCTCCTTGTTTGGTTTCTTGAACATTTTCAGTACATTTTGGGTCAATGCATTTTGGATTTTCTTTTCTTTTTTTTGCAAGGGACGTAACCTAATTTATTAGTTAAATATATTTTGTATCTGAAAAAAAGTAGATTAATCAGGCAGCTGCACAATGACCGACAATTAGTTAGTGTGATAAATTAAAGCACAAACCCAAGGGGCATGACAGAAATTGGATTCGAAATGCTCATTGCTTAAGACATTCAAATGCTGTACTTTAGCTTGGCAATGTGTGTTGTTTCTCAAACCCCATTGGAACAAAATGGCAGATTCAGTTCTAAGGAAGAAGAATTGTAGTAAATAATCTTCAAATGTCAAAACTCTGCTTATGGAATTAGCCTTAGATTTTGGACAGCGAAGACTATAAATTTGGCCACTGTTCCGTATCATTAATTGGCAGGGATGAATCTGAAAGTATGCTGGCATTTCAAGCTGGCACGGAAAGCATACAAATCATATAAAACTATTTACCTATGGACTAAATGGTTGTGTGCTGATTTTTTGTTAAGATTTGGCTGCTAAAAGACAAAAGTAATCTAATTCATATGACCACACATAAAGATCCTTACTATGCTCACAAGAAATTGTAAACTACCTTGCGGTACTGTTTCATAATGAAACAATGATCAGACACATATTTTCTTATATTTACGTTTGGGTTGGGAGGCAGTATTTGGTTATATCTAGTCCTATAGAGTGCTATGGGAAATGGAGATTTTAATGTGATTGGCATCACAAAAGGATGGCACAAGAAAGAGATTTGACATTCATTTCTGAAATAGCCAGTATTAACTATTCATGGGAATGCCCCATCTCCCCAAAACATAATGCTTTACTACATTGCTGAACTCAATATTATTCACTAGAGATCTGCCAGTGAATCTCTTGGGGGAACTCTGGAGATTTGCAGTAGGTCTCCC